AATAAAGAATAAGTTTCAGTAGGGTAGTGTGCCGAGTTAGTCCTCTCTCTCTCTCTCTCTCTCTCGCTCTTTTCTCACATACCCTTACTTCAGACTTGGATATTTTATTTAGGGAATGGCTTTCCTACTGTTGGATCCGTAAGGGCTCACCACAGGTTCTGTTTTGATTATCCGAACTGTTTAATATGTAGAACTCGTTGGGTACTATATGTTTATAAAAAAATCACGTTGATTAGATATCGATAGCTATGTGATCAAATAAGTTTTGTATGAAAAACATAGAAGGTAAAAAATAAACGGCTTCCAAAATTATGATTTGATTACATAGCTATCGATATCCGATCAATGTATTGTTTTTACAAGCATATAATGCTCAACGAATTTTACACATTAACGGTTCAGATTATCGAAACAAAATCCGTGATGAGTCTTTACGGGCCCAATAATACTCTCCAATCCAATTACAAACTAGAGGGAAGCCATTCCCTTTTATTTATAGGAATTTCTTCTCTTTGCATAATTGTTCTTGGTTTGAACATGTGGCATTTCATTAATTTCTCTTTCACTGATGTGGCATCTTCTTTTCTTATAATTACCTTTGACAACTTCATTTCGACTTGCACATATTTGCCGATGCAGACAACTCCATCTCGGCATATGTGTATCTGGCTGATGGAAGCTTGTAACACCTTACGATTGACATTTTTCGTATTTTTTTCCAAAATTATGCCGATTACTATAGGCGTTAATTTTGGTTACCACAATTTTAAATCTAGTTTTAATTTGATTATTATGTCTAAATTGAAAATTAAAATTACTAGTAATTTTAAAATATTTGTCAATTTTTTAACGTTTTAATTTAGTTATTTTGTCTAAATCAAAGGTTAAAATTAAAAAATGTTGAAACATTTATCAATTTTTTAAAGTGTACACATAGCAAAATTAACAAAAATTTAATTAGAATGACTTAATGAAAATTAAACTTAAAGTGTGGAGACAAAGTTGTTCAAATTGAAAGTACAAAGACTAAACTGAAATTTAAATTAAATTATAAAGGTGAAAACTGTAATTAATCCAAAAATAAAATTTTAAACAATTTTTTTAATAAAAAATAGAAAAATACTATACAAAATATAAATTTGATTATAAATTGATGTATTATAAAATAATAAAATTTTAAAAATTAAAGCATTACCACTTCATGATAGGATAGATGTCACATCATTAACTAAGAAAAGTTTATAATATTAGCTAATTTGTACAAAACCACTCATTTTTTTAAAAATAAGTTTTATTTTAGAGATATTTACGGACCGATTCTATTGACGATACTAATTATACATCCTATTCATTTTCTCTATCAATATTTCTAAAATATCCTTTATTCACTTTCTTCATCCACATAATCAATGCTCTCACCTCCCCTGCTAGTGACTACCTCCGATCACTGTCTTTAACCATTGGTGACCAACTCTGCCACTAGCAACCATCTTCGGCCTCTAGTAATTACATCTGACGGTTGTATCTAACTGCCAGAGACTACCTTCAGTTTGTGACGATAGCTTCTAATGACATTTCTCTACCTATTTTTTGACAGAAATAACTTCTATCACCATCACCTAATTACTGTCACCACAATAGTAATTATGGTTTAAATCTGACCCGTTCATTGTTTTGGATCTGGATTTTATTGTCTTTGATGGTTGTTTTTATTGTCTTTGATGGTTGTTCATATCTTCTTCTTTCTTATTCCTTTGTTGAATTTGATTAGTGGAGTGTCTTGGTTGTGTTAGAAATAAGTTGAGAGTTAGTCTTTTCAAAACTGTGCTGTCTAGGTTTTGGCTTGTTCGCTAGAGCGAACTTTCTTGCATTCTAGCGAACTTTGAGAACTTCTAATATTTTTGCAGATCTGCAAAACTACTGGGAGTATGACATTCTTCGCTCAAGCGGTGTTTCTTGCGTTCAAGTGGTCTTGGCTTGAGCGATCTTTTTTGCACTCCAGCGGTCTGCAAAAGTACTAGGAGGGTGGTGTTTTTCGCTCAAGCGATACTTTGTTCGCTCGAGCGGTCTTTCTTGTTGTGTCTGGTCACTCGAGCGACCATTCCTACACTCGAGTAGTCTGCGCGTATATCAGTCTGTAAAGTCACATTTTTTAGTCACTTTTTCATATCTCTCTCCCTCTAAACACCTCAAAACCCTAAATCTAGACACTATCTCTCTAGAACTCATCTTCTACCCTCAAATTTACCTTGATCTAGTGGTTTCTCAACTCTTGTCCTTTGGAGAAAGAGGTAGAGCTCACCTAGAGTTTCCATTTGATTAGAACAAAGTTCGCTTTCGGCTTCGTCAAGTTTCAGCTCTTATTCTTCTTGGTCCTTGTATTTGATGTAGGGATTTCTCCACACTTTGTATGGTTTTTAACTTAATTGTTTGATTTGTTAAGCTATGTTATGATTTGGGGAGTTTTAAACAAAAATCTAGGGTTTTGGTTTAAAAATTCAAAAGAGGGATTTTCAAAATAGGTTCTTGTATATGATTGTGGCTATGTAAAAGTGGTTGGGTTGTGATAAATGGTGGATTTTATCTTTGAGAATTGATTTTTAAAGAAATGGGGTTTTGTCCTAAATTGTGAACATTTGATTTTTGTAAAGAGGAAATGGAATTGATATTGGTTTTATAGAATTAGAACAATGATGATGATGGTGGTGGAGTTGGATATGAATTATCACTCATAATTGGAAATGTTGGAAAGTATATCTGTGTTGAGAAATAATTATTTGTTTAGAGATATCTGTTTTAGGCTATCGGTGGAGGATAGTTATGATTGTTGTAGAAATAAGATGAGAATTAGATGAATTGAAATTAATTTATCATCCATTGCATTGAGCATTGTAACATATTTAACACATTGAAAATGTTTATTATTTTGAGAAAAAAAAATGGTGAATACCTTGGTGAATTTGGGTAAGGAGTGCAGTTGTGATATTAAATTGGCCTGTGTGTCCGTGGTGAAGATCTAGAAACCTACGCGGATGTGTGCCAAGTCTTCCTGTTAGTATCGGTAAAAATGACAATTGGTAGTGCTTGTAGCATACTTGAAGACACATCCTAGAAACTCCCCAGTGTTGTATCCACCACCTTGTTTTCTATTGTAAAGAAAGTGATTTTATGAATTGTGACATAACCTGGCATTACATGATTTTTGGAAAGAGATAAAATGTTTTTGGTATGAGTATTGTATATGCATTCACCTTACAACTCTATTAAAATTTATACACTGTGTTAGAATATCTTTATTGGGCTTTGGCTTACCTTATGTGGAAAATCATTTTCAAGTGCTGATGATATGTCTCCTCCAAAGTAATAGTTTGGGAAGACTTGGAGCCAATAATTTCTATTTTTGTTATTGTTGTATTTGTTTTATACATGCCTAACACTTAATTTGCATTGAGTTTAAACTCACTTTTATTGTAATCAAGTATTGATTTGAAAAGATGTAGCCAATAAGGCATTGCTATATCCGTTTAACTCTTGTTTTAATATATTTCGCTACGACACATACTATAAATTTAGAATTAAGACTTATAAATATATTACTATCTGTGTTACACTATTGTAAAAGAGATGAGACCTTATAAATAGGAGAACATTACTCTCAGACATCTGTTATCATTTTATATCTGTCACGAGTTGATCTTAGGGCATGTTTGATTGGAAGGATTAAAGTATGGGATTAGGATTATTAATCCGTGGGCCCAACTATCCTATGTTTGTTTTGACATTTGGTTTAGGACTATTAATCCAATGGATAATTAATCCAACAAATTTGTAGGATAATTAGTAATGGGGTAGGGGTGGGATAGTTAATACTACACTAATTTGATAGGATTATTAATACCTCACTATTAATATTGTGAATCAAACATGGCCTTTTATCCATAATTGAATGCAATTTTTCTATATAGATGTGGAATCCCAGAAAATGTGAAGCGCAACTCATGAGAAGGATTTTTCTAATTTTGTGCTTAATTTTTGTATTCTTCAATTTTTGGCAAACAAAAGTATGCTGAAAATAATGTTAATTTGACCACAGGTCAAGAAAAAAAAAAAAAAAATCATTACAATGATCACATGTCAATGATGAATAGTATTTAACTGGTATGGTTTAGATTTTTAAGATTCACGTTTTAAAAAATTAAAATTTCTTGTTTTTCATATTTTTTATTTTTATTAAATTTTTTTAATATCCTAAATAGTTTTTTTTTTTTAATTTTTAGATACACTTAACATAAATATACTTAAAAAGTATAATATTTGTGAAAAAAAACTTTGGAAAATTCACTAAATACCAAAAATATAAAATAAAGAGAATTCAATATAATTTTTGTATTCTTGTGTATTTATTGTTTTTTTAATTTTTTTTTTTTACAAATATGTTACTTTTTAGATAAATTTAAACAAGATGTATTTAAAGAAGTAAAAAATTACTTAAAATTTTAAAAATATTTACTAAAAATTAAAAAAATATAAAAAATAAATAACTCAATTTTAAAAAAATTAAATTCAAAAAATTAAAACCAAACACGCCGATTATTATTATATTAAAGTTTTATTCCGTATGAAGCAGAGTAACCACATATATGTCTTGTATCTAGTTTGATGATTAGTGATTTTAGCATTTACTGTACTCATAAAAATATGGAATATACCATCTAAATAAATATATTTTGAATATGGATCAAATTATTTTTTTGGAAAATTATACCACTGGCCCTAGAATATCTCTTATGTCAATATAGTCTATGAAAAAAAAATTAGATTGATATTTTAATCACACTTAATTTAATTGAGTGTGATAATATTTATTTTTTATATCACTTTTTAATTAAGTGTGATTATACATATATATATATATATATATATATATTTAATTAAGAGTGATTATATTTAGTATTTATTTTTATATATGTATATATATATAGTATCCACAGTTGAACAAATCAAACCCCCTCTCTCCCCGTCTCCCCGTCTACCCCTCTCACCCTCTCACCCTCTCACTACTCACTTAGCAATAGCTAGGGCTTTATTATCTTTATCTCCCCTATAGAAACCCTAGCGTTGAAACTCCCATCCCCAACAATAACAATCACCATCAGTATTGGATCTGCCATCACCGATCCGCTGCTGTTGCCCGTCGCGCAGCACCTCCTTTTGCTGCAGAACCACCACCTCAGTGTCGGCGATGGCAGATCTTGAAGGATGACCAAACCCTAGAGAGCTATAGGTAATTAAACACCCTAACTATGTTTTGTATGTATTTTACAGTTCTTTAGATGAATGCAAATATTCTCAGTTATTCCATCTTTTTTCATCTTTTTTTTTGTTCTCTCTCTCTCTAGATTTTACAGGAATAAATTCATTCTTAGGTTAGAAGATCCCATTAGATTGAGTTTGATTTGATTTCACTTTGTTATGTTTCTTGATCAATTTCATGTTAGTCTATTGAAATCTGTATGTATCTATTGATTTCTTGTTCTTGCTTGGGGTTTGTATGATTATAAATTTGATCTTGGGAACTCAAAGCTTGTTAGGGTTTTTGATAATTTCTCTTAGAAATACACAGATATGATCTTAGACGCCATACTGTTGATGGAAATAATTTGACAGTAAATCTGTGTAGTGTGGTTGGCAGTTTCTATTGAGAGATGAAATGGTGATGTTGTCGGATTACCTTGGAAACAAAAGAATTGACTTAATAAATTATTCAATATTTCTAAAGCAATATTTTATTTTATTCTATTTAAAGATTGACACTTTATTTTTTAAAATTTTAGCACAAAAATAATAGATTTCATAATTTAAACTAATAACTACTCATTTAAAACACTACTTAAATTTGCTTTAGAAACATTAAATAATTTCTCGATTGACTTAGGAAATACTCAAAAAAGTATACGAGTAGTTGCTAGCATTGATATAGTAATGTTTCAACTAATTCTTTGAAGAGGAAACGTGGGCATTAAAAAGTGTGCATGCGCCATCTGTTGTTCTCTTTGGATTGTGTTGGCAAGTAAAATGGTTATCATTGCATATTTCCCTTGCACATTTCAATTTTCTAATCAATTTTCATTTTTCCCTTGCACATTTCAAGATTTCATGTGAATTTTGAGTTGTGGTGGTTCCTAATTATAGATTTCTTTTTTAATTAGTTCTTCAAAACCAGAGGTTTGTGACCCATGTATGGCCCTATGAGTTCATGAATTCAAGATTTAGCTTAACCAAGTAGCATGAAATGCCATAGAGCTGAGGGACAATGATTTATAGGTCTTGGTGTAGCTTATTGACCTAGTGTCATATGCGCATGGCTTAGGAACAATTTAAGTAGCTTCTTTTGTCTCAGTCTTATCTTCATTGCTTTAATTCCTTTTCTGTATTTTTGTTAATATGTATATATATTTTTTATAATTTTTTTTCTAGGGTTTGTTCTGTTTCCAGAGGCTACCCTTCCTCTAAGAGTTATACAACCTAACTTTATAGCTGCTATTGAAAGAGCTTTGTGCCAAGTTGATACTCCTTATACCATCGGCGTGGTTTGTGAAGTCATTGACAGCTCAATAGTTATTTTCTTTGTGCCTAGGATTTGTTTCACTAGCCTTTTATCTCAATGTAGCATTATTTGTAAAATTTTGTTCAGGTTCATAGGATCCTGATAATGGGAGGATGAGGTTTGCAATCGTTGGGACGACTGTAGAGGTATGAGTCAAGAACTTGCCACTCAGGTCTTTTACTGCTTACTGCTTATTTATTTTTATGTTATAAAGTTTTATGACTTTTTTGTGGGCATATTTAATTTAGAACAAAATTTTAGCACCTCTAAAGTATTGGCAAGATCAAACTCAGTCTTGTTAGATGTTTATCAAATGTTAGACACAATCCAAGATGCAAGGTGTCTTTATTCATATGTATTTCTTTTATTATCTAATTAATAGTCAAATGGACAATGATTATTAAGTATCAAAGTAGAATCCCTGTGCTGAATTATGTTATTTCACAGAAGAGTTATATACCTTCTGTTGCAAAAACTTGCTCTTTTTGTAAAATATTGTGTTGGTTTACAATTCAATGTTTGTCATTGCGGTTTGCTATGCAGAGTGCATGATTATATGCTGTCATTTTTTAAGTATGTCAAGACTCAGGAGCATTGTTTTATAAAATTACAGTTGCTTTTATGTGAGAGAACTTCTCTTTAACTGGCCTGTGAAAATGAAGGCTCTAAGTGGTCATTGCATTATCTTCTCCTAATCTCTCTAGATCTTTACATCTATATTGTTATGCTTATATATCATACCAACTTATTTGCATACTATCACGGTGGAACTCTTTTTTGGCTTAATAATTTTCTTCTGATTTTTGTTTTTTTACATCTGTATGTAAAAAGTTTGCATGTATATTCTTCTGAATGCATATCACTACAAGAAAATCAAGTTTTAGCAGCGTTTTTTATTGTAGTGGCTTGAAAAATGCTGCTATAAATGAGCTATTGTGACGGTTGTTGACTGCCATTAAACATAAAACTTTTACTCGCATTTTTTTCTTAAAGCGTTGTTATATATTTTTTTGCAGTAACGGTTTGAACACAACCGCTACAATAAACCAAGCAAAATAAAGGCGCCAAACAAATTCTAATTTCGCGCTTATCAATTTTTTATTTTTTTTGGTGAATAACATATCAAAATCAGTCCCAAAGAAACCCTTCAACTCCTTGATTTCAATTTTGTGCCCTAATTTATCAACACGTCTTTCACGAAGTATCTCGTTCATCCTCCACCGATGTATTGACGACATCAAGCTACAGCACCACTATGATTTCAAGGTCAGTCTGTTCTCTCTGTTTTTCTTTCTATACCTCTCTCGTTCTTCTGGTCTCTCGGTTTTTCTTTCTCTACCTCTCTCGTTCTTCTGGTCTCTCGGTTTCTCTCTCTACCTCTCTCTCTTTCTTTTAGTCTCTCAGTTTCTCTTTTTTTGCTTTCACTGTCTTCGGAGAAGTTTGGGTACTTGCCATTCCATTTATATTGCTTCTAATATCTCCAAAATTTCTCTATTTTGAAGCATTTCATGAACATCTTGAATGATTTTGATTTGGGAAAATAATTTAGAAAATAAATTGATTAACTGTATTTTGATTATGATATTCACACACACACACACACACACACACACACATATATATTTGATCATCTATGATATTCATATTTTAATCAATATAATTAGTGAAGTGAAATCTCATGCTTCTAATTATGAACATCAATGAGGAATCATTATGTATGCTAGGTATTTGACAAAATGCCACAATGGAGCAATAGGGCCTACCATTTTCTTTATTGGTTTATTTTGTTTTTCTGTTTTTGTTTTTGTTTTTGTTGAGAAAATTGTTGTCCATGAATTTAATGCATAGTTTGTAATGTTTTATTGGCTTAATAATGTGATTAGAGGAAATTCAACATTTGTGTATGCCATTTTTTTGTTGAATCTAAAGACACATTTCTTGAAGGAAGTTACCAGCCATTCTCATATCACTAAAGGCCTCCAGTGCTTCCAATATATGGATTCTCTGCATTACATAAAAAATGTATAAGTATTTACTTGAAACTAACATGAACATGTATACATCTACCTTCTTAAGCTTTAATAGCCAAACTGAAACAACAAAAAGTACAAGACATTTTCATAATATAGCATTCAAAAATTAAATTATGACATCCATTTTCTGCTGTCTAGGACCTCTATACAAACATTACGAGTCAAAACATTTTTATTGAATTACAAGTATCCAAGCCCATGCTCCTCAAAGCATTTGACGTAAGGAGCATTGTGGCAATAGTTTCAACTGTAGACATAAAGTCCATGTGCTTCCCTTTCAGCAAGAGGAAAATAAAAAAAATAAAGGGAATAGAAAAAAAATTTATGTATTAGTTGCCAACCTAATACATGCTAAGAAATATATATAGGCCATCCTAAGAAATATTTAAGATTTTTTAGCCTTTTAGGGTATGTTTCCTTTTTACATATAAGAAGTTCAAGAATGCCTCCAATGCTTCCAATAGATGGATTCTCTGCATTACATAAAAAATGTATCAGTATTTACTTGAAACTAACATGAACATGTATACATCTACCTTCTTAAGCTTTGATAGCCAAACAGAAACAACAAAAAGTACTAGACATTTTCGTAATATAGCATTCAAAAATTAAATTATGACATCCATTTTCTGCTGTTTAGGACCTCCATACAAACATTACGAGTCAAAACATTTTTATTGAATTACAAGTATCCAAGCCCATGCTCCTCAAAGCATTTGACGTAAGGAGCATTGTGGCAGCTACACTGAAAGAATGCCCCCCAACAGTGTATGCTGCCTGTAAGACAATCACTAATTAAAGATTTAATATATGTACATATTTAGTAATTGTGTGTACCAATTCTTGTGTGATGTTTTTTAGAAAAACAAAAAAACACCATGGTTAATATCAGTGCAAAATCTAGAGTATTCTCATACAAATGAAAAATATTTTCATTGATCTCTTAAAACGATTGACTCAAGAATTTGAAACATGTTCCTCACAAGTCTTCACCAACTTGACAAGAAGAGATGGCAAATTCGTATTAACACCAACAGATAATGACCCTAAATCTACGGCTTCATAACCTAATGCTCTAAATACCGCCCTGTCATGTCTCCAACCCCACACTTTTGGGAGTTGTAAATATGACCAGCCACCAAGGCCTCTTATGGAACCAAATGAGTTGAATACTTGCTTAATAGTGACAATTTGGTTAGTGGAAGCGTAACTAATTAACTTGTAAGCGATCAATATTGTGTAACCATAATCAGATCACAGCTTGAATCAAAATTCACATCTCAACCCAAAACCACACAAGTATATTATAAACTTATTACATTGCTTCTCCTCATGTCCCAACTAGGTATAAACAAAGTAAATATTTTACACTTATTGCCTATACTGAACTCGTATAAATAGGACACAGAATAAACACAAATTATATACTACAAGTTCACATACCTAGGAATCTACCCAGAATTCTAAGGTCATCATTTCACCTAAGGTTTGACCATACCACAAGTACATCTAAATTATAACAGACGTAACCACTCCACCCAAAATGAACCTAAACCTAGGGTTTCATAACATATTTCTCTCAAACCATTGTAAGGTTTGTAATATGTCAACACATATAAATCATCAATTATGCCTAATCACCACACTTAGATTTAATTAATCCCAACTCAGGCTCAATTTAACTTATTTTAAGACATCCTTATACTTTGTTTGTCTATCCTCAACAATAGACAAACAAAATGTGACCCTGTTTTCCTTGAGTAATCTTTCCTAAATACAAATTGGTTAACCATAATTAGGGTTTAGACCAATAACCAAGGGTTAAGACAAGATCAGATCACTTTGTATCAAAGCCCAGAACATAACCAATCACAACATAGGTTAGGTTAATTAACCATGCTATAATCACACTTAACTGAAAACAAGTTTTAAGTTAATTAAAGACATTAATTAGAAATTTTTATCAAAGCTCATTAAGAAAATTATTTAGCTTCAAAAATCTACATATTAAGGTTTCAAGGATTTCCTTGCTTACCAATAAAAGTAACCTTTTACACTACTAATCTCAGAAACACAATTAAAGCAAGAATGACACATAATTAATCATTTTTTTATATAAGAGATTATAAGATATAACATATAATAAAAGATAGTAGAGCTGGGATGTTGCAATAACCCTAAAATCACAAAATCTTCAATTGAGCTTAATAGAGGCCAGTGGGCTTCCTGTAGGGTATCTTCAATTGAGCTTAATAGAGGCCAGTGGGCTTCCTGTAGGGTATCTTCAATTGAGCTTAATAGAGGCCAGTGGGCTTCCTGTAGGGTATCTTCAATTGAGCTTAATAGAGGCCAGTGGGCTTCCTGTAGGGTATCTTCAATTGAGCTTAATAGAGGCCAGTGGGCTTCCTGTAGGGTATCTTCAATTGAGCTTAATAGAGGCCAGTGGGCTTCCTGTAGGGTATCTTCAATTGAGCTTAATAGAGGCCAGTGGGCTTCCTGTAGGGTATCTTCAATTGAGCTTAATAGAGGCCAGTGGGCTTCCTGTAGGGTATCTTCAATTGAGCTTAATAGAGGCCAGTGGGCTTCCTGTAGGGTATCTTCAATTGAGCTTAATAGAGGCCAGTGGGCTTCCTGTAGGGTATCTTCAATTGAGCTTAATAGAGGCCAGTGGGCTTCCTGTAGGGTATCTTCAATTGAGCTTAATAGAGGCCAGTGGGCTTCCTGTAGGGTATCTTCAATTGAGCTTAATAGAGGCCAGTGGGCTTCCTGTAGGGTATCTTCAATTGAGCTTAATAGAGGCCAGTGGGCTTCCTGTAGGGTATCTTCAATTGAGCTTAATAGAGGCCAGTGGGCTTCCTGTAGGGTATCTTCAATTGAGCTTAATAGAGGCCAGTGGGCTTCCTGTAGGGTATCTTCAATTGAGCTTAATAGAGGCCAGTGGGCTTCCTGTAGGGTATCTTCAATTGAGCTTAATAGAGGCCAGTGGGCTTCCTGTAGGGTATCTTCAATTGAGCTTAATAGAGGCCAGTGGGCTTCCTGTAGGGTATCTTCAATTGAGCTTAATAGAGGCCAGTGGGCTTCCTGTAGGGTATCTTCAATTGAGCTTAATAGAGGCCAGTGAGCTTAATAGAAATATATAAGATTTTTTAGCCTTTTAGGGTATGTTTCCTTTTTACATATAAGAAGTTCAAAAATTTCTTTAGAACCAATCCTAGATTATTTTCAAAACGTGTTGAAGTAAAAAAAAAAAGTACTTTAGAGCACAATGTGCATGCACAAACACACTGCTGCTGTTATGTTTTAGTGCTGGAATGGAACTTTTTGTGACTGAATTTATTGTTGGAACAGAGGAGAAACAGAGCTAGTTTTTATTTTGTACACTGCTATATTTGGCTGGACTTGATTGAGCTTGCCCCCACCTTTCATTGATGTATTGTTGCTGTAATTGTAAGCTTATGATTCATCAATAAAGATCCTTTTCTTTGTTGATTTAAAAAAAAAATGCTCATTTAATTTGATTAATAGGTTAGTTTTTTATTAATTACATCTATACATATATATATACATATACGTATATGAGAATTAGGCAAAGAAATGCACAAATTATGTTTATATTATTGTATTGATAATTCTAAGAATGTTCATAACATGAAAAAACAAATACTTGTATCTAAATGATGTATTAATTTATCATATGTTATCCTTTTCTAAATTTATCATACTCATGTGAATTTTATTGTATAAATGAGGTGACAGATGGATCAAATGGCATTCACCAGGCTTCTCCACAAACACATCAGAGATCCTCTTTTGGAAGTTATGAAATGCAACCTTTTAATTGGGGTAAGTATTTCACTTATATATATTTTTTATGGAATAGAAAAATCAATATTTTCCTCTTTTTTAATGTCATTTTCATGTTTCAAGTAAGTCATCATTACAAATTTTAATATCAACATCAAATTCTAATATGAAATCAAAAAATAGACCCTTGGATGTTTTTGTTGGTTAGTTGATTAGTGGCTGCTACAAACCCAATCTTTGGCATTGTTTGCATGAAGCGGCTGCCCTCAGATTAAAATCTGCAATCCAAGCATTTACCATTCCACAAAGCAATTTTCCATATATATGGTATCTACGTATGTGTATACAAACAGTGTAAAAGCATACATACCTGTATACAAGCAGTGTAAAAGCATACATGAATGAAATGGTAGGTCTATCCCAGAACTT